CAATAATAGTACCCACCTCACCAAAGTCCTGGGAGGTGCACAGGGGCTGATGGACCCACAACGAAGGACCCGAAAATGTTAGATATTATTAGGGATGATGTCAGGTCCCCTTCCTTTCCATCCTGCTCCCACCAAATGCCTTAGTATAGATATCTGGGGTGAAGTCTTGTGATAGATTGATTTCTAATCTCTTTAATAAAAAGAGTGAAACATAACCTGTGATTTTTGTCTTCTCACTGTAGCTGAGCCCCGCTGTTTGTGGCCCTGGTCTGTTTATTCTGTTAGCAGTGAAGCAAATGGGAAAACGGGGAGTGAGGCGGGGTGAGCAGGGCGTGGTGTCGATTTTCACCTCGCAGTGCGGCGTGTTTATTAGCGTGTATGTGCGTTAAGCGCAGCAGCCTGGTTTCCTCGAGTTAAATAGCAGTCATGCCCAACTGGCTCTCCATGTACCATTACTCCAAGTGATTGAGCCAATTTCTCCCTCTGCCATGAGTTTAAGTTGTAAACCTCTCAGCCAGACAGAGAGGCAATGATGGGCTGCCCGTGGTGATTATTACTAACCTTCAGCATTCCGCTCACAAGACCAGGGGGGTCTGGGAAGAAGGCCGGGGAAGGCAGGCAGGGACTGTGGGCTCCCATCCACCCACCTCGGCCCAGTCTGCGTCTCTTCTCCACCAGAACGGCCAACATCTGAGTGCTCACTTCGGCCTTGCAGGGAGGCACCAGCCCTGGTCTGGGGTGAGAGACTGCTTGTGCTGGGTGAATAGGGAAATGTTCCATTTGGCAGGAAATTAGAAGGGGCACTGAGGGAAAGCTGGAGAAGTGACCTAGGGGTGCCTGCATATTCAGAAATCATTTGTCAGCCATAATTTTTGCTCTTTGCCATGTGTTAATAGTTATCTGCTAGATGCTGTGTGAGTTATCTGGCTGAAACCTGCAGGGCCGATGACTAACTCCTAGTTGTTAGCTGGTTGATGGGACCTTGTATGTTTAGCATAATCATACCGGGAACCAGGCGGGCTGCAGGGACAGGAGAAAGCACTGAAGCGGCTCTCCAGCACGGATCCACAGCCCTCCGTCACTTTCCCTCTGCCCAGCGACTGTGTATTTCTTTTTTTTCTCAAGGAACCAAACTTCCTCCCTGTAGAATTAATCCTAAATTGGCAGGGATGATGGTTCCCTGAATGTGGGCAGCTCCTTTTGCTTTGCTGAACGGTTTGGTCTCCTCAAAATCTTTGAGAAAAAGAAAGTTCACTTCTCATGGCCTGGAGGTGTTCGTGTTGCTTCTTTGTTAAAAATCCAAGTATACCTGTGGGCCGGCACTGGGTGAAACCTGCAATCCGAGAAAACAAATACTCCTTCCCTCAGGAAGGTTATGGTCTAATAGCCAGGCAGGACTCAGGAAGGGCAGGTGTGGGAGGCTGAGTGTTATTGCTTGTTTTCCAAAATAAAAGAGGATGAGGGAGGGGGAACAAGCACCACTTAGACCCTGCTTTGCCAGGAGCTCGAAGGCAACACAGTAGCCAAAGCAGCCCCATCCTGAAGGTCCATTTCCTGCGAGCTTGCTCAGCTCCTCCCCAGTCTCTTAGAGTGAGGTCCCTGCTGACAGGATGACGAACTCTGTAACTTACATAGAACGAATATTGATTTGATAAGCTTAAACAAATTTAAGCCCTGCCTTCCATCTATTTTGCCATGACATTGATCACAATGACCATGGCTAACACGCATTGAGGACTGACTTGTTGCCCGGCACTGGCCCCCGGCATGTATTATCTCCTTTACTGGTCCAGGTAATCCCACGAGGTGGGTACTGTTGTTATTCCCATTTTACAGCTGAAGGTACTAAGGCCGACGGAGAAAGAAACCTCCCTGCGGCCACACAGCCCACCGGCAGTCGGTGCCTGGGGCCCACATATCCTTCTGCTGCCTCTTGGCATTAATTTCCACTCTGGTGGCAGAAGCATGTGGTCCATTTGTAAACTAGTGAGCTTCTCAGATCTACTCAGCACACCAGCAGAAGCAGGTGGGGAGGGGCTCTGTTTCTCAGACACTGAACACTGGGAACCTGGCCAGCTTGCCAGAGAGCAAGAGTGCAGGCCTGTCGCCAGCTTTCCCTGCAACCTGCGTTTCCTCACAGTTCTCTCCAAATGAAGAGAAAAAAAGGTACGCACCAGCCTAACCCACTGGGGAAGCAGTAGAGGAAAATTTGGACAGGAGCTTTCCCAAGGTACACCGTTGGCAGGGATAGAACACGAGGAAAGATGTCCATGGTGCTGGCTTAACATTGCAGGAAGCAGAAGTGAGCCGGGTCCTGGAAGGAAGTAGTTAAAGGCCTTCCCCACCCCCGACAAGTTGGTGGTTAAGGAGAGGGTACATTCTAGTCTTTTTCTTTCCTGGAGGTTGAAGGGAGGAAACGAGGTAGTGACTTAATATGAAAAATGGATGGGCTGGGAAAACGGTTGCATTTATTTCTAAATGAGGGCTGTTAAGCGCTCATGTCCACCCATGTGTATTAGCTTAGAACTAGAAAGTCAGAAAGTTCACTTCTCCCTGAGCATCCAGGGGTTTGCTGTCTTTTAAAATGGTTGCTCTCTTCAAAATGCCTGATAGACCCTTAAAACCAAAAGGGACTTAAAATATCATCTAGTCCAGCGGTTCTCAACCTGTGGGTCATGACCCACAGGAACTGAATTAAAGGCTCACGGCATTAGGAAGGTTAAGAACCACTGATCTAGTCCAACCTCACCGTTTTACCACAGAGGAAGCAGAGCAGAGAGGTGAGGTCACATTCCCAAGGCTGTCTGACCAGCTAGAGAAAGGACCTGGGACCCAGAGCCCATTTGAGGCCATTCAGCCTTTCTTGGGGAGCTTTTGTCTTCCAAAAACACAGCATTAATCTTCTGAAAGTCTTTGGTCATGGCATATCTTGCCCACAGAGGGAAGATTTGATTTTTAAAACTAACACCAATAGCTCCAGAGAGTGATGAAACTAGGTAACAACATTTGAGGTCACAAACCAGTGGGATTGAGGGGCAGTAAAGTTGAAATTCTCCGGTGGCTTATAACCCAGCAATCATAGCAACACAGTTGTAAGAATTATATCATTTTTCCCAATGTGAAGTACATTTTTTCTCAGCATGTAATCTGCATTTGGAGATGTATGTGTTATCTCCATGTACCTATTTATACACACATATGCAAAAATACACATACACACATATGTATGTATAGTTGTTCTGACATATTCTAATACTTTGAAATTGATCCTGTTACTTGATGGTTATGATTCTCATATGCACAATCCAAGAATGTGTTCCTTTGGCGGTTGTGATGGTGTCGATTCTTTGGAGAAGCAGCGTACTCTGTCAGCGCCTAGGCTTTGGAATCATACTAATGTGGGTCTCCCACCCGGATCTGTCGTTGAATAGCTGTGTAAAGTTTGGCAGATTTCTTAACTTAAGCCTTGCTTTCCTCCTCAATGTGATGAAGATACCTAAGATCTCCATAAGCTTGGATGGAATTAAGCTTGAACTTGACCAAGCTTGCCTGGTCAAGTCCATAAGCTTGAACTTGACCAAGATTGCATGTTCATAAGCGACAGCTGGTAATAAACCGAGGTCTATCAGATTGTCAAACTGGGTCCTTCCTGGATACCACATACAAAGGGAAGCAGGGACAATCCCTACGGAGAATGCCACTGTTAGGACTGGAGAGGAGGGACGTACCCTGCCTAACCCTTTCCTCTTAGAGCAATCTCTGTCAGGCATGGTGATTCACACCAAAAATCCCACCCCTTTATGAGGCTAACATGAAACGATTGGTTGAGGCCAGAAGTTCAAAACTAACCTGGTGGGGCTGTGTCTATGGCTCAAAGGAGTAGGGCACCGGCCCCATATGCCAGAGGTGGCGGGTTCAAACCCAGCCCTGGCCAAAAACTGTAAAACTAGCCTGGCCAACATAACGAGACCCTGTCTCTACAAAAAGTTTGAAAAATTAGCTGAATGTCGTAGCACACGCCTGTAATTTCAGCTACTCAAGAAGCTGTCACAAGGATCACTTGAGCCCCGGAGTCTGAGGCTCCAGTGAGCTGTGATTGAGCCATTGCACAGTAGCTGGGGTGGCAGAATGAGACCCTGTCTCTAAAACATAAAAATTAATTTAAAAAATTAAAACAAAGTCATCACTTGTGCCCCTGTGAAGGAAAACAGGTTAAGATTACATGCGATTCTAGATATATATTATATATATGTATGTATGTTAGAGTTCAGGGGAAAAAAACCAACAAAAGAAGATTCTCTCCCACTTGGTAACCCATGTCTAAAAATAAAATGCCAAAAATATTGTCAGAAAGAAAAACTGGGTGAAAAGCAGGAAAAACTATAAATAGTCTACTACATGACATGGGTTTCTCCTGTTTATAGATGCGTCATTCAATAGAAACTCAGTCATCAGAGGAGATTTTCTTTCAAGAAATATTCAGGCGGCGCCTGTGGTTCGGTGTGTAGGGTGCCAGGCCCATATGCCAAGGGTGGAGGGTTCAAACCCGACCCCGCCAAACTGCAACAACAATAAAAAATTAATGGCTGTTTAAAAAAAAAGAAAGAAAGAAAAAAAGATCATTCAGAACGTTTTAACACAATAACTAAGAAAATGACATGAAGGCTATGTTAACCAGTTTGATGGAAATGTTTCAAATTGCATGTGAAAACACCACACTGTACCCCAGAAGTGCATTAATGTACATAGTTACCATTCAATAAAAAAAATTAAAAAAAAGAAATATCATTCAAATAAATTACACCAATATTTGACTGTCTGCAGCTCTTTCAAAGAAAGAAATGTCCAGTCTTTCCAGAAAAATGATTTCCCTTGATTGAGTTTGGAGTTTACACTACTTGGTGAGGACCTTCACTAACAAGGAGGGGAATGGAGGAGTGGTATTTTTTTTTCCTCTCCCAACATCTTTTTGGAATGTTTACTTATTGATTTCCCATTAGGCAGATTGGAGAGCACATGGTGAAATGATAAAAGCGTCCGATTCCCATTCAGAAGACCTGGATTCAAGGCCAGTTCTGCCAAACAATTCCTGCACAACCCTCAGTAAGTCACCTCTCTGTGCTGAATGTTTTCCTCTGTAAAACTGGAAATATTATATGAAAAAAAAAGCCTTTTACTATTTTAAAGAACTTGCTCAGTTCTTTGAGGGGAGCTCTAAGACCTGTCTCTTATTTACTATTTGACCTTGAGCAAGTTACTTCCCCTTCTGGGGGCCTCCGGTTTCTTGTGGATAATTTGAAGATGTTAAAGTCGTTTTAGGGGTTTTGGTTTTCTGATTTTTTTTAATTTATTAAATCACAGCTGTGTACATTAATGTAATCACGGGGTACAGTGTGGTGTTTTCATATACAATTTGAAATACTCTCATCAAACTGGTTAACGTAGCCTTCATGTCATTTTCTTAGTTATTGAGTTAAGACATTCCTACTCTGCTTTTAGAAAGATTCACTTGTACCCTTGTAAGGTAAACCATAGAGGTGACCCCACCAATCCCCGTCCCTCCACCCATCCACCCTGCTTCCCTCCCCTCTCTCTCCCCCTCCCCATAGTCTAAGGCTATAATTAGGTTATAGCTTTCCTATGAAAGCTATAAATTAGTTTCAAAATAGGGCTGTGTACATTGGATACTTTTTCTTCCATTCTTTGGTTTTTTGTTTTTAATAGATTTGTTGCACTGATGAATTGTATAATGGTGAATTCAGGGCTTATACCAGGATACCAGGATACTATACCAGAACACTACACCCAATGGGTAGATTTTTCTCTCTCACCCCCTCTCCCGACTTCTTAGTTTTCAATGTCCATCCCACCACTTTATGACCTTATATGTCCCTGGTTCAGCTCCCACTTATAAGTGAGAATATTTGGTATTTGTTTTTCCCTTCCTGAGATACTTTACGGAGGATAAAGTACCATAAGTTCCACGTAAATTGTTGCATTATATCATTCCTTTTTATGACTCAGTAGTAATCTGTGGTATAAACACATGCCACATTTTCTTTGCCCACTTGGTGAATTCCACATCTTTGCAATTGTGAATTGTGCTGTCATAAGCATTTGGGTGCAGGTGTCTTTTTGATAAAATGACTTCTATTCCTTTGGGTAGATACCTGGGAGTGTGATTGCCGGATTACATGGTCGTTCTACTTTTAGTTCTTTGCAGAATTTCCATACTGGTTTCCATAGAGCTTGTACTAGTTTGCGTTCCCACCAACAGTGTATAAGCATGCCTTTTTCATTGTTT